TGGGCTATGCCCGTGCCCGTTGACTCACAGTTCGCATGTGTTTGGCTACACCTCGTCCTGACTGAGTGTGGTTGTGGAATTGCAACTGCTGCCTCTAGAGGAAAGGGTGAAAATGGATTGAACCCTTCCATTTCTTCAGTGGATGGAACGTAAAACTCATTTGGGGATGATCCTCAGAATGCATCATTTCGGGAATCCATTATAAATTTATGATAAAATAATAAATAATTAAAATGAAAAGAAATTAAATAATAATATGAATAAGAGATGATATTGAAAAATAGAAAAAATTGAATAATATAAATAAATAATATGAATAAATTATAAATATAAATATAAATTGAATGAGAATTTGATTGGAGATTTGGAGTTGAGAGATGGAGAGAATGAGAGATTGAGTGGTGTGGAAAAAATGAAAGATTTTAGGGTTATTTATAGTTTAATTGTGGGGGGAGAAATGAAAAAAAAAATGAAAGATTGAGTAGGTGGAGTTCCAACAGATAGGCATGTCCGTACATAACTTCAAAGGTCGAACCGATAGGTCATCTTGCTTACAATATTTGACATACTTCTGCCATCTTTTATTACTACCGCCGACGATAAATCTGATAGCTGCGCGCACCCTTTCCATCTTCGAATGTATAGCATCTAAACATGCTTTAACTATCAAATTGATAATGTGGCAAGCATATCTCTGGTGAAAAATTTTGCCTTCACCACACCGATCCAATCTCTTTTCAAATAAAGAGATTGTCGCGGTGTTAGCAGCTGCATTATCAAACATTAGCGCTACAACTCTATCAGTTAATAAATATTCTTGCAAAACTTTAAGAATTGTAAAATAAATAGTTTCAACACTATGTTTTTCATATAATGGTTTAAAACCCATCAATTTTTGTTGTAAGTCCCAATTATGATCTAAGAAATGTACTGTGACGGTTAAAAAATTGGTTTTTGATCTAGAAGCCCATATGTCTGATGTAAGGACAATAGATATATTCCTAAAAAATTTAAATACGTTTTTAAGTTTATTATTTATTTTGTTATAAAATTTTAGTATATCTCTTTTACTTGTACTTCTACTAATAGAGGTATATGCTGGACAAAATGCAGTTTTAATCATCTGAATAAAATAAGGATTTTCAGATAAACAAATGGGAGAGTCCATAACAACTATGAATCTTGCTATTTCCTCTCGTGCAACATGTGCATTGTATTGCCATGTTGAGAGAGTTGAGGATTGTAGATTTAAATTAAGTTGAGTTTGAATTTGTCTACCTGATCCGGTTGAAGATGTATCGGGCAACTGCATTATTTGGGGGTGCTTCTTCTCCACGTGTCGTCGCAACGTCGAAGTCCCCTTCTCAACGCCAATAATGGTTCCACAGAAATTACATATCCCACACGATTCTTCCCCCTCCCCATTTGTCTTTGGCCGTTTTTATTTGGTGAAGTGTCGCCATACATCGGACACGATCGTCTTTGAAGGTCGGGAGGGTTGGGCTATGACCGTGCCCGTTGACTCACAGCTCGCATATGTTTGACTACACCTCGTCCCGACCGAGTGTGGTTGTAGAATTGCAACTGCTGCCTCTGGAGGAAAAGGTGAAAATGGATTGAACCCTTCCATTTCTTCAGTGGATGGAACGTAAAACTCATTTGAGGATGATCCTCCGAATGCATCATTTCGGGAATCCATTATGAATTTATGATAAAATAATAAATAATTAAAATGAAAAGAAATTAAATAATAATATGAATCAGAGATGATATTGAAAAATAGAAAAAATTGAATAATATAAATAAATTATATGAGTAAATTATAAATATAAATATAAATTGAATGAGAATTTGATTGGAGATTTGGAGTAGAGAGATTGAGAGAATGAGAGATTGAGTGGTGTGGAAAAAATAAAAGATTTTAGGCTTATTTATAGTTTAATTGTGGGGGGAGAAATGAAAAAAAAATGAAAGATTGAGTAGGTGGAGTTCCAACGGATAGGCATGTCCGTACATAACTTCAAAGGTCGAACCGATAGGTCATCTTGCTTACAATATTTGAAATACTTCTGTCATCTTTTATTGCTACCGTCGACGATAAATCTGATAGTTGCGTGCACCCTCTCCATCTTCAAATGTATAGCATCTAAACCTACTTTAACTATCAAATTGATGATGTGGCAAGCACATCTCTAGTGAAAAAATTTGCCTTCACCACGCCGATCCAATCTCTTTTCAAATAAAGAGATTGTCGCGGTATTAGCAACTGCATTATCAAACGTTAGCGCTACAACTCTATCAGTTAATAAATATTGTTGCAAAACTTTAAGAATTGTAAAATAAATAGTTTCAACACTATGTTTTTCATATAATGGTTTAAAACCCATCAATTTTTGTTGTAAGCCCTAATTATGATCTAAGAAATGTACTGTGACAGTTAAAAAATCGGTTTTTGATCTACAAGCTCATATGTCTGATATAAGTACAATAGATATATTCCCAAAATTTTGAAATTCGTTATTAAGTTTATTATTTATTTTGTTATAAAGTTTTAGTATATCTCTTCTACTTGTACTTCTACTAACATAGGTATATGCTGAACAAAACGCAGTTTTAATCATCTGAATAAAATAAGGATTTTTAGATAAACAAATGGGAGAGTCCATAGCAACTATGAATCTTGCTATTTCCTCTCGTGCAACATGTGCATTGTATTGCCATGCTGAGAGAGTTGAGGATTGTAGATTAAAATTAAGTTGAGTTTGAATTTGTCTACCTGATCCGGTTGAAGATGTATCGGGTAACTGCATTATTTGGGGGTGCTTCTTCTCCACGTGTCGTCGCATAGTCGAAATCCCCTTCTCAACGCCAATAATGGTTCCACAGAAATTACATATCGCACACGATTCTTCCCCCTCCCCATTTGTCTTTGGCTGTTTTGATTTGGTGAAGTGTTGTCATACATCGGACACGACCCTCTTTGACGATCAAGGGGGTTGGGCTATGCTCGTGCCCGTTGACTCGCAGCTCGCATGTGTTTGGCTACACCTCGTCCCAACCGAATGTGGTTGTGGAATTGCAGCTGCTGCCTTTGGAGGAAAGGGTGAAAATGGATTGAACCCTTCTATTTCTTCAGTGGATGGAACGTAAAACTCATTTGGGGATGATCCTCTGAATGCATCATTTCAGGAATCCATTATGAATTTATGATAAAATAATAAATAATTAAAATGAAAAGAAATTAAATTAAATTAAATAATAATATGAATAAGAGATGATATTGAAAAATAGAAAAAATTGAATAATATAAATAAGTAATATGAATATAAATATAAATTGAATGAGAATTTGATTGGAGATTTGGAGTAGATAGATTGAGTGGCGTGGAAAAAATGAAAGATTTTAGGGTTATTTATAATGTAATTCCCCCACCCCCCCACACAAAAAAAGAAAATCATCGTTGGCTGCAGCCAACGGTTATAAAGAATTAAAGTTAAAAAAAAAAAAAAAAAATTTTAAAAAATTTTCATTTTAACCCGTATAATTTATATTTATTTCAAAATTTATTGAGGGTTTTAGTAATTATACAAAGGACTAAAAGGAAAAAGGGTAAAAATATTTGGGTCCTAGCCAGGCCTTGGAGGAGGGCCCAATGGAGGGATCGGGACCAGGCCCCCTAGGACGGTGTTTTTGGACCCAGTCCCAAATACCCACCTCTAGTGATTACTATTAGTTTAGAAAAATTATCAAATCTTATATCACTCATCAACCAAATATGGGAATATAAATAATATAATATAATATTACCTCTATGATAAGGGTATAACCCTCAACCAAACAGTCCTCAATGGTTTTCTTACGTCATTTTTCAGCTTAGGAGTCAGGCATTGAAAAGGGGAACAAGTAATGTGTCATTGTCAAACCACCTCGATAAGACCATTTGGACAGCCCAAGGTCGCCATTGCGAAATCCTACGACACTTGGCTAAACTTCTAGTTCTTCGGCCATCTCTCGGGCTTGAGGCCGAGTTAGACCTACTTTGTGCTCATATTTCACCTGTCTTTGGGCCTCCTATCCCAATTTTAGGGCTTGGGCTACCTCGTAGTTTTGCATCTAGTCAAGTTCATATTGGATTTACCCCTTTGCATTTTAGGCTTTTGGAGCTCTTGTTGGACTCTTTCTACATTATGGGCTTAGTAGGGCTATCATGGTCCTTTCTTCACAACATAGGTCAGTTGGGCCCATGTATCATTCTAACATCTATATTTATATATTTATATAATTCTGAAGTCTACCTTTGTTATTTATAGCAATTTAGACACCACGTAGGATTTCAATAAGGACCTTTTCAGTTTCAGGTAGGATTCCAACAGGATATTACACCCCATGTAGGATCCTGAATAGAGGTGGGCAGAGACCGGTCCCAAGCAGGCCCAGGCCTGGGCTCGTTTGGGACTGATTCCTTTGAGACTGGTCCCAAATGGGACCAGTCACTCATGGGCCTAGGACCGGTCCCAGGCCCATGAGAAAAATTAGGACCCGGACCAGGCCTTAGGACTAGTAGGGATTGGTCCCATGGGCCCAGGACCGGTCCTAGGACCAGTCCCATGGGGTTTGGATGATTCATTTTTCCCCCCTCAATTTTTTTATATTTTGGGGGCAAAATGAAATTTTATAGGGTTTTTTAATATTTTTTAGGGGTAAAATTTATAAATTTTTTAGACCTAGAAGATTTTTTTTTAATAAATTTTATAAAATTTTATTTTAGCCCTCTTAATTTATATTTATTTTTAAATTAACAGGAGGTTTTATGTAATTTGATAAGGGATTATATTGAAAAAATATAAATTTTTTTGGGCCCAGACCCGAGCCTTGGAGGAGGGCCCGGGCCTTCCTCCTTAGGCTTGGTCCCGTTTGAGGACCAGACCTAGAACCGGTCCTAAGATCGGATTTTGAAGCTAGGCTTTTGGGTCCGGTCCAAATGCCCAGCTCTAATCCTGAAGCATACTTCGATTGAATGGTTTAATTAGATATTAATATATTGTATTGGTATTCCAAAAGTTACGAGTTGAATTTGTGGTTGAATGAGATAAAAATTTTATATCAACGCAAACTTTTCTCATCTCTTAAGATTAAAGTCACCGATTTAATCAAAATGTCTCATCTGTCTCCACTAATGGACAACTCAGGCTCTTACAATCTCTTCAATCTCTGCCATCGGATTATTCGCTGGAATAATTATCGCCGTCAGAGTAGCTGATCGGCATCCCAGTGATCTGGCGCGGATGACTTTCTACTTTGGTGAACCAACGGTCATAATTCTGCAAATACCGGTACGGTTTTTCTCTAATTTGTCACCTAGATCCACTGCAATTTGATTCCTGCTAAATAATTGAATCAGAAAATTGATTCAATAGCTTTGGTTTTGCTTTTTCATTCCACGCACGTCGATCCATCGAAGTTTATCACTCGATTAAATTAATGTTAATTTGTTTTTTTGTTTTTTTTTTGGAAAGGTTTTTAGCCAAACCGTTTTGAGCTAGCATCGTTTCCACTTAAAAAACTTCTTCACTTGATCCTCCTCCAAACACTGTGAAACTGAAGGAGTTCGTTCTTTCGCAGATGGCTAGGAACTACATGAGAGACAACGTGCCTTTCTCACGATTCGGCATATTGGTGGCTCAGCTAGAGTCTACATATGAACTTAATCAGAGAGTTGTAAGTTTTCTCAATTTCTCTTTGCTTTTTTTCTTATTTTTCTTGGTTTTTATTCCTACTGAAAGCTAGGGTTTCTTTGATGAATTGAATTTCTCGGAAAAGAAGACTGCTTCTGTTGTGGGTGGCACTGGATATGTCGCATCTTTGCTCATCAAGTTATTACTTCAGAAGGGGTATTCTGTCAATACTACCGTCAGAGACCCAGGTTCTTCTTTTTCTTTTCTATTGATAATGCATATCTTGTGGAAGTTTTATGATGGATTTATGAAACTGTAATCTTTTCATATAGGATGTTATGGAAGAGAAGTGTGGCTCTGCAGCCATCTGTTTTGTTTCTTTCCTTCTTGAAATTTTGGACTCCAAAGCTGATGGGAGAAATAAGTAACCTTGAGATGATGTTAGCAGTTGCAGAGAAGCTCAAGAGGAGTCCTTACAGCAAGTATGTTAGATTTAGATTTTTCGTATTTCAGATCACGTTTATTTATTCCTCAAATGCTTTGAAAACTAAAATGTTTGGAGAAACACAACTTTTATGCTGAATAAGATGAAAATCTTTTGATTGTTTCTGTAAAATTTCTGTGCTACAGCTATGTTTGGGCAGCTGCTGGTAAGCAGCCAGATCTTGAAAAGCATGTAGGTGTCTGTTTGGGCAGCGCTTATATCTGATGAACTCTATGAGGTTATTTTAAATATATTTAATTTTGTGTATATATATATTTTTTCTTTTTTTCTTTTTAATTAATTCTGTTTCTTTTAAACTACGGATTTTTTTATTTCTAGATTCTGCAATTTTTCAGGATCTCAAAGAACAGTGCAACGAGAACTATGTGAATATAGAACCAACCAATGCAAAATGTGTAGCTGCTTATGAAGTTTACAAAAAAGAAAGATGATTAGCAGTTTAGTTCCTATTAAAAACAAATAATTTTCTTCAAGCTTCCCAGAAATGACTGATTAATTTTATTTTTATAATTGCAGTGCGTTAAAGGTTTATTTCGCAATGATATTTTGGAACCGAAATGTACTTTTGCATCGCCAGATGTGGACCAGAGAGAAATGCCTCGCAGAGCTCTACAAGAAAATCCTATGAATTTTATCCTTTCACCACCGAAAATTCCTGATTTTTGGTGCCGGGTTGACAATTTTTCATGATACTTGAGTGAAATGAGATTTTTTACTCTACCCAAGTTCTGGAATGTTGTTTTCAAATTTGAAAAGCATAGCTGAGAAGATCTGAATGCTGCTGTAGTGGACTGCTGCATTGGAATTCCTGTTTATTTCACTGACCTTCAAAGAAGAGCTGTGTTGATGGCAGCCACAATTGCAGGTCTGCATCCTCTCTGCTTGATTCATGAAACTACAGCCACACATTGCTTATGGTATTTATAAGACTGATTTGCCGGAAAATGACCAATTGAATGGTGCCTTTGTGGATGTGGGGAATTCAGTTTCCAAGTATGCATAGCCGGGTTCAAGAAGGGTCAACTTAAGATATTGGGTCACTCACTGATCGGTCTTTGGGTGGTAGAGATTTTGATGGAGCTCTATTCCAGCATTATGCAGCCAAGTTCAAGGATATACAAGATTGATGTTTTCCAGAATGCCAGAGCCTGCCTTCGTCTTAGGGCTGCCTGTGAGAAATTGAAGAAAGTTCTTAGTGCCAATCCTAAGGCACCTTTGAATATTGAATGCTTGATGGATGAGAAGGATGTGAGGGGTTTCATTAAGAGGGATGAATTTGAACGAATTAGTGCTCCATTTTGAACGTGTGAAGAGGCCTCTGGAGAAGGCTTTGGCCGAAACTGGGCATTCAGTCAAGAATATTCACATGGTTGAGGTTGTTGGTTCTGGCTTTCATGTTCCTTCCATAATAAGATCTAAACAGAATTCTTTGGGAAGGAGCCTAGGCGTACAATAATGCAATTGAGTGTGTTGCTAGGGGCTGGTCTTTAGAATGTGCAATCCTCAGTCCTACATTCAAAGTGAGAGAGTTTCAGGTAAGAATCTTTCCTTTTCTGACTGAATTTTCATGTTTTTTTGTTTTTTTTTTTTTTTTTGTTTGGGTGCTGTGAATCTTGGTTTAAAATGACATTAAGAGGCGGAATTTTGGTCTTGGATGTCAAGATTAAAGCTGTATTTTTTTTCTTAATTTTGTATTATGGTGCTTTTGTTTTCATGATATTTATTGAGAGATATTCAAGGTCCAGAAAAGGTACCATTATTTTTTCTTGCTTTTTATATCTTCTTTTTTTTTTTTTTTTTCAAAGAGAGGTCTAGGTATGCTGTTGTTTTTAAGGCAGTTATTAGTTTAAATGTCGGGTTTATGCTTCTTCTTTTTTTCTTGGTTTGTTTTCCTGAAGCAGTCTTTGTGGTCTTGGATGGTTGAAGTTGAGTGTTTCAGTTCATATGATATTAATTTTCTCCTCTACACTTGGTGATACTATGTCATAGTTACTCAATGTTCATCATTGAGTAAAAGGCTGTTAGTCAGGAATAGAAAATTCAATGACAAAACCTTTTACTAGAACGGCAGTTTATGTCATTGAATTCTCTGTTCCTGATGAGCGGCCTTTTACTCTCTTTTTGGCCAAGGCAATTCTGATCCATGTTATGCTTTAATTGTGACTAAGTAGGTATACAGTTTCATGTTATGATTTAATCAGATTATGCATAAAAATGATCAATAATGGTTCTTCATTTGTGGTTGTTTCTAAATGTAAATGAGAGCTTCCCATTTTCAATTGCATTGTCATGGAAAGGCTCTGCCCCAGAAGCTCAAAATGAAGCAGCAGATAATCAGCAAAGCACTATTGTTTTCCCAAAGGGAAATCCAATACCCAGTGTTAAGGCATTGACTTTCTACAGGGCAGGTACATTCACTTTAGATGTTCAATAGCTGATGTGAGCGAGTTGCAAGCACCCAACTATGCTTTAGGTGGATGCTATTTGTAGCTGAATATTGATCATTTGCTATTAGAATAATGGGAGTAGGCATTAGAATTGTTTGTAGAGATTTATTTGCTGTTTTGTGTGGAGGACTTGGTTGGAGACTATCTGAAGATTGTGTGGGAAGAAAAACTTATTTCCATTCTAAAGATTGTAATTCTCAAGATGCTCTACCATGATTATCAACAGCAGTTCTAGAGTTTACAACTTCTAGGTGCTTGCTTTTTGTATATAAGTGGTGTACATAAATCATAGCAATTTTTTAAAATCTAATACTAAGATGGTGAGAACTTTTCGTGTACCAATGTTGTTATGATATGTTCAATAATGGTTATACTGCACCTGGAAAGTATATTGTTAGAGGAATTTCACCGTGTGAAGATTACGGAATCTACAACATGTACAATGATTCAGCACAAAAGCATCAAGACCATTAACATTTCAACCTATAGTAGAAAAATCATTGATTGATGAAAGGCTCAAACGGTTTATGATAAGAACCCATAAAAAACTCTCTCCAATCAAATTAACAAATTACATGTGATGAACTCGAGCAAACTAAAATTCGATCGCATTAAATTGCTTTCATATGGGTAAGGAAAGCTATTGGAAAAGTATACTTATTTGTTTATAGTAAGTATGAACTATTCATTTAATTCAATCGCTCTATCTATGAAAGAAGTGCAATATAAATCCATCCAAGAAAACAAACTTTTAGATAATGACTTGATTCAATGGTTTAGCATTTTAACATAATGACAACAAAAATACTGTAATCATGTAATAATTGATAAAGGTGATCTTATCGCCCCACACTCATCAATCAGACTTGTTGGTGTCCACTCATTAAATATCATATATGATTTCTCCTGCTAATTAGCCCACACTTATCAATATCATCCAGCTGCTACTACTTTATCATCTATATTCTCTCTACGCTCCACTTGAGAAGTGAGAACTTGAGCTCCATTAATTTGCAGCTGCAGATTGCATAATCTCTTTAGGTACCAAAAGAGGTAACCCTTTTAACCCATTTCTTCTTCTTCTTTTTTTTCACATTATTTTGAGATAATTTATGTACTTCCAACATGTTGATTATTGAATAGTAGCTAAGATTGTTCTATATACTACGTGTAAGATCTGTAAGTGTACATGAGGAACAAAATGCTCTTGAAATTGATGTTAGTTTAGATTTTATGTAAAATAAATGGGCAAGATGAATATCAAAATTAACTTCATGAGATCTACTTAACAAACTTCGTTAGAAGTCAATAGAATTTTCCTTTTTAATTATCTAATCCACAAGCTATGAGACCAAAATTTAAAATAAGCATATAAATAATAATGATGGTAAAACATTATTAATTTTAATTTTGATAAAGAATTAACTGTTGAACAGGAATTTTATACCTAATTCTCAAAGAATCAATCTCCTCTAACATAAACTCTTGAACATTGATTTAATGTAATCTAACAATTCAGAAGTTGCTAATTTTATATTAAATAATATAACAACCTTTAAAGTTTCTCCAATACAAATTTCATCTCATTAATGATCAATTATTTATTTTTATTTTTTTATTTCAATAGCTTAACCTTATATATGTTTCTTCATTCAGTTGTATTATGAATAATTATGAGTAAATGTTTTTATTAATTAAAAGTGGAAAGATTGTAAAATACAAGTTTATAAATACTTAATCCCCAATATGTTGTCTTATAAATTAAATTCGACAAAGGTCTAATTACTTAAAGTTCCTTACAGTGTTTACCACAAAAATGTCCACCGATGAAGTGAAGATTGACATGGCACCAGAAATTGGGTCACATGACAAGAAAGATGAACTTATGGCATCTCCTCCTCAAGAACAAGGTGGTATGAGTCAATATTATATGTATGTTGTTCACTTGATATTAGCAATAAGTATTTCATTAAAAATACTTTAAAGTACGACGTTGAACTCAAATTACGGCTAAATGCATAAAGTTCCTTAAAGGTTTTATCACAAAAATGTCCAATGATCGATGATAAAGTGAGAGTTAACATTGCACTAGAAATTGAGTTACATGAATAAAAGGATGAGCTTTTGAGTTTAGACATCTCCTTATTCTCAAGAACAAGATGGTACTATTTTAAATTACCTTGTAAACTACACGTTATATTATTATTTTATTTTTAATATTATTTTCACTTTTAAAGATGCAATGTTTGGACAATAATTTTATGCATTTAAAATGTTTTTAATAATTTCCTTAGATTGTCTATAGAAAAAGCAAATTAATTTGTTTATCTAATTTTATATAAATGCATAACAATTAATTATGACAAAATTTTGACTGATGAAACAGTGAGAGATACAACAGCTGCATCGAAAGAAGAGTCATCCAACGAAATAGTTGAGAATGAGACATCTCTTCTTCAAGAAAATGCTGGTACATTTTGATATTACCTTGTAAATTGCTTATTATTTTATTTCATATTATTAAAGATGAATCATTTTGAGTATCCTTTCATTTTTACGTCTTAAAAATTTCCAAGCAATTGTTTTGATATTACCTAAACAAAAAGAAAATTAATTTGTTTATTGTAATATAAGTGCATAAGAAGTGCCCATTAAAATAGGCTATCAACAGGGAGATTAAACAAATGTAAACATTTTAGAATTTTTTGCAATTTAACTCTTAAGGGTTAATTTCATTTTGAAAAAAGTTTGGTTAAAATTTAAAGGTTTAAAGTTAACATTAAATTTCATTAAAAGGACTAAAATAAATATAATTTGAGATCACAATGACCTGTACTAAGAAGCATTTTTTTTTTTTTTTTCATATTATTTGGGTCAGGGTATTTATGATTTACGATATTAACTGTCTGAGAAGTCACAATTTTTTCCAACTCAGAATGCTAAATTGGTACACAAACTAATAATAAACTGACATGTGTCAAATGCATTAAAAATTTTATTTTAATATTATAAAAAATTATAATCCCATTAAAACACTCCACCAGTCGTGTTGGAACCACTCCACCAGTCGTGTTGGAACCCTTGGGATATGAAAACTTTTGGTATATCAGAAAATGATGACTACCCTCTCCACGTTGCAGTTAAGGAAAACTACTCTAGTTGTCTCCGTGAACTAGTAGATTTAATGCAAAGCGACGAACTTGCTATTGAAAATCGTAGTGGCAATACTGCTTTTTTTATTGCTGCTGCAATGGGAAGGGTGGAACATGCTGAACTGATGTTTGAAAAGAATGAAAAATTAACAAGTATCCGTGGAGAAAAGGAAATGCTACCAATTCACATTGCAGCTCAGGGAGGCCATGAAAGGATGGTGGAGTCTCTTTATAAAGTCCAAGGACGCCTGGAAGAAATGGATAGCAAAAAACTGTTTGGTAGGCACCAATTTTTTCTAATATTCTAATTGCTTATTTACTTATTTACTTGATCATATCAGTTTTATTATGATGCTTTTTATAACTTGTATATATATATATTATTTGTGTTATAGTTTTTATTAAATTATTATAATATAAGGTATTTACCCAGAGTTTTGATTTAATAATAAAAATCCTCTTGATGTATGAAATAATACAAAACCGGCCCATTGCCTATTATGTTAGTTTATAATAGCCATTAGAATACTAATTATATTGATAATATATGATTAAACATGCATGGTCACATGCAAGAAATTAAGTGTAGGAGACCTGATCACAAAGTTGATATGTTGACGCGATGCGTAAAATAGATTATAAAGAGTAGGAAAATGCTATGCAAGATAAGTTAGAATGTAACGAGAAAAATAAGGTTTGGTACTTAGTTGGTTTACCTCAGGATAGAAAACTCATAGGTTGCAAATGAGTACTCAAAAAGAAATTGAAGGCAGATTGTAACCTAGGAAGATGTAAGGCAAGGCTAGTTTCCAAAGGCTATACATAAAAAATTGGAATAGACTTTGTTGATACTTATTCCCTAGGGCTAAATTTACATCAATAAGAATACTCATGTTAGTACTTACAAGAATGAATCTTAAGCTACACTAATTAGATGTCAAGACTGATTTTCTCAATGGAGAGTTAAAAGAAGACATTCACATGTCACAACCATAAGGTTTTGTGACTAAAGGACATGAAAACAAAGTCTACAAGTTAAGAAATCTTTGTATGAACTCAAACAGTCATCTAAGATTGGTATTTAAAATTCCACTAAGTTATCCTAGCATTAAGGAACAACGTGAGTCCATTAGATCATTGTGTTTATAGTTGGAAGTTGCCAATATAAATTAGCTATATTGTCACTATATGTAGATGACATAAATTGGTTGGAAATTGCATAGATATGATTTATTAGACTAAATCATATCAAGGTTCAAAATTTGAAAAGAAAAATATGGGCAAGCATCTTATGTCCTAGGAATTAAAATTGCTTTGGAGTTTTATGGTAACGGTTATGAGGGTAAACCATCGTAGCGGTTTTAAGGGTAAACCACCGTAGCGGTTTTATCCTGAAGATGAGAATGAAATAAAAGAAATGGACTAAGTTCTTTATGCACAAGTATATATGACCAGTACAAGACCAAATATATGTCATGCAGTAGGAGTGGCTGGAGTTAGTACATATCAATCAAATCCTGGAATAATTCATTGGCAGGTTGTGAAAAGGATTATGAGATATCCGAAGGGCACTAAAGGTATCAAACTGTGTTTTGGTCTAAATGATCTAGAACTTATTGACTATTGTGATGTAGATTTTGCAGGTGACATAGATGATAGAAAGTCCACAAGTGGTAATATATGCTTTTATTTGGTGGAACAAATAAATAAGTAGGAAACAAGCTTGTGTTGCAAAGTCAACCATAAAAGCAGGATATATATCTTGTAGCACAATTGTAAGTACAACCGTATGGGCTAAAAGATTTAATGCTAGCCTACAATTGGGTATCCTTGATAACATGTTTATGTGTCTTGTGATAATAAGTCTGTCATCTATTTGGTAAAAAGTGGAGCTAATAGTTCCAAAGGTAAACACATTGACATAACTTATAGCTATATTCAAGATATAATGGAAGGGAGAAATCAATGTCTACTATATACACTGGTGAGATGGTGGCTGATCTTATGACCAAGGGATTATCTTTGGAAAAGTTCAGAGAGCTTTGGACTACTATGGCCTAAAGAATCATCTAGATGCCTAGTTAGAACATGTGATATGAATGCATCATTTGTAGATTTTGGGGATGCCTAAAATAAACAGGTTGGTGCAACTCTATCTGATTATTAATAGATTGCTTAAAGAAAAGATAAGAGGACACTAGTGAGGTAACAAGGGTTATAATATATCTTCTTGGTTGTAAAATCCATTTTATTGCACTAAGTTTACTTAATAAAAAGTCATTTGATAAGGCAAGTCAAGGAAAACCTTCGAATTAATTAATATTTTCTCTCTATACACACGTACTTTGTAACGCATTAATTGAGGTTTTTAGGTAATTCGAGTGTCTAGGATTCTGCATGTCACCACGAATCTAACGGCTGTGTCAAGGTCCTGTAATCATTTCTTCATATATTTATACCTATTTTAAAACTAATTTTAAGAGTAGATTTGCTATATGTGAGAGTGGCTTCATATACCTATTTAAAAAAGTACTAAGCTCAGCTAAATGACATTCTTTGACCTTGATCCAATGAAGTCCAACAATTTAGAAGTCAGTTAGTTACCAATAAAAATAACTTTATCTTCTTTACAAAATTCTTTGGATTGCATTAAATCAGTGGCTAACAATTTCCACTACAATAGTTTAACCTTATAAATACATTCACATAATATTTTTATTTAGTATATCATTAACACTAAGGCTATATGTTTGAATGAGGATTGAATAGGAATATGAATGGAAAGAGTGTAGGATGAGAATGTATAGTGACAGACCCACTTAGTCATGAGTGGGGATTAGTGATCCCACTAAAAAACAATTCATTAATTAGGTTTGATTTTTTTCTTTGGACCATACTGTATTTGTATCCGTGTTTTTAGATTTGATCAAATTCATTTACTTTTCCTATAGTTTATATTATTTTATTTTAGACTTGCCATTCTAAAGTTAATTCTTGGATCCATCCTGAGAATATATGATAGATTAGAAAAGGATTATGTTGTTTTTGTAATAAAGAATGTTAATGGAATGAAATAAAATAGTTTAAATATGCATGTATGTACGCATGTTATTAGATCGTGAAATCCATTAAAAGTTAATTAGATAGAAAAAAGACCCCCTATTAGAAAGTACTTTATAAATACAAAAATTAAGAATAAAATTAAATATTTAATTGTTGTTTTTACTTAAAAAATAAATAAATTTGGAGAAATTATAATAATTTAATTTATTACATTTTAGGATAGTTTTTTTTTATTTATTTTATATATTTCATAAACCACTCTTATAATATTAATTAGTTTAAGAATTTTTTACTTTATTAATCACTCTTCTAAACGTTAATTAGTACAATTTGAACATGGTTCATCAACTAATTTATATTTTATAAAGGTTATATTTGGTAAAAGTAAGTAAATAAAGTAAAACTAAAAATTACAAATTTTACCAATGGGCTTATTGAATAAATGGACCTAGAGAGTATAAATTTCATTAAAGTACAAGTGGCCTCTCTGTTTCTATAAATTAATTTTGTATGGACATATAGTTCTCGGTTAATGTTTTACACATATACAAAGTTAGATTCTCAAAAATAGATCTTAAGTTATGTACTCATGATGTGTTAACATTATATTAAAATAGTCATGCACATATTCATTGTATTATTGATAGTTTCTTATGTTCAATATATTATTCTATCAATTTATATAAAAACCACTTTCAATGAATCAATTTTTATTTGTAAAACTTGTTCTTGTCTTGTTTACAGATTACTCGAGGATAAATGAAAACATAAAAAAACTGTATAGAGCTGCATTGAGGAATGACCTGAACACAACTATTACAGATGTTTTTAAGAAAGATCCAAAGAATATTCCACTGTATTTAACTACTAAGATTTCAGACAACCATGATATTGCTCTCCACGTTGCAGCTGCGGCAGAGTCTGCTGTGTTTGTTCGAGAACTGGTAAATAAGATGGAAAAAAAAGATTTGGCTATTAAAAATTGTGATGGATGTACTGCTTTTTTTCTTGCTGCTGCATCTGGAAGGGTGGAACCTGTCAAGCTGATGTTTGGGAAGAATACAGAGTTACCAAGTATCCGTGGACATGACGAGATGTTACCAATTCACATAGCAGCTCAGGGCGACTATAAAGAGATGGTGACGTACCTTTATGGAGTCACTAAAGATAAATTAACAGAAGATGATCTCATCGAATTGCTTCCTGATCTGATCGCTAGAGTTGATTTGTTTGGTAAGCATGTCCTGATATCTGGGTTAATTGCACATTCACTTGATAATCTTTACTTTTGATTGAACTAATTTAACTACGTAGGTTTTAATTGAAATTATATGTCATTCACATATGATTAATTAAACTAAATTAAGGATATCTATATATAAACCCAAGATATTACTTTCCATAACCAATATTACTATTAATACCAAATTGTACAAAAATTATTAATAAGAAAAATCGTTACCTGTTAATTAAATAAAATAATTTTGTTTTGTTTTGTTTTTGTTATCATAGTAAAAGAAAAAGGACAGAAATTAGTAATAAATTAATTCAATCACTGTAGGAGTGTGTGCTTGTTAAAATCCTAGTTTATGGTGTTACTGAATACTTGGTCAAACACACAACAAAGAGGTTTACTATAAAACATTTAAGAAATTAACAAAAAAAGAGAGAGAAGACGCATAAGATTTATGTGGTTTAAAAATATGTTTATATCCACAGGGTACAATATAGAAATATTTTCTTCACTAGAATATAAAATTAACAAATAAAATATCAAGGATTATGTCAATTTCTCAAACCTAATAACTACTCAAAACCTTTGAATGGATTACATTCCAAAAGATTCAATGCATCACTTATTTAAGGTATTCTAATCCTAAAACAATTCTTGGAGCTGCCAAAGTCCTTAACGAATAAAAATCCTAACTAGATATGTATTCACTGTACATTTTAACATTTGTTCTATATATCTTACTATAAATTAAAAAAACCTTATTTATTTTTATTTTTTTCCTCTACACATTTTAACTTTTCCTTGTATGTATTACTCATGATATTTGGTGGTTGTTTCCTAGATGTTGCATTGAATTTGCTTGATGAATACCCTAGTTTAGCCACCAAGAGTTTGATGGGGAGGACAGCGTTGCATGTCTTGGCTGGAGCACCCATGATGTCTCGTGACTCTGCAAATCAAATTCAGCAAGGAATTTTGAAGAGATGCTTCAACCTATGTTAGTCTCCCTTTTCTTTAACACCTTTAAGTATATGCCTTGATTATTCATATTTCATGCTGCTTATTTGTATATGAAATTAGTTTGTTAAATGTCTTGTTGTAGTTGTTTTAGAAAATTGTGTTTAAAAATTAGTTTATGAAACTTCGAACTAGTGACTAATATGATATTATCCCTTTCCTTTTCTGTTAATTTTGTGTTATACGATGCTTATTTGTTGATTAAAATCAGTAGGATATTCTGAAAAAGTTCGTCTTTTATAATTTTATTACGTTCAACATGCCTAGATTAATTTCAACACTTTCAGCACAATTTGATACGGATTAAAAATTTAGCACTTAAACCAGATAGGTTCAATTTTATCCTTCTGAAATTTAAATCAAATGCCTAATTAATCATAGTTTAATTATATATAGTTAATTACGGTTAGAAACATTCTTCCTGCATGCATAAATGAATGATTCCCTGCTTCCATGTAAAAAGTGGCTACTACTGATGCTTAACAGTACAGTTAAGTCCTCAACTTGTTAGGTATTATCAAATTATTGTTTTAGTTTTAAAGATTGGTCATATTTATGTCAGTTAACTAAAACATTTTCTTAAAAGCTATATTATAATCAGGATAGAGCCACTAGTGGCTAAGTGGGGGTTAAGTGGGGTTGGTTTGATAGTTAAGGAGGTTTGAACTTAAAACTCGAAAAAAAGAGCAAACCTCTTCCTTGACTATCAGACCAACCTCTAAGCCAAAAGAAATCAAGTTTTTAGGGATAATAATATTTGATATTTCTTAGCTTGTCCCCACTGAGACAAAATTCTGACTCTATTGATAATATTGGATTATTAATAAATATATAATGACTTGCATACATATAATATGATAAAATTAATTTATTTATTTAAATATTTTTTTTTTCATACAACAATATAATTAAATTTTCTCTTTGTTAACCTTCAAACTCAAAAAATAATTCATAATTCTTGTATGATAACCTGTATCAAACTTGCAGTTTCCGGCAGCAAGAAGTTGCCCCATGAAAAGCTACCCTGGAAGGCACTTAAACTAGCCAAACTCCTTCTAGACAAAGTAGATTGTCGTGACAACAGGATTCAGTACGTAATAAAGGTTGCTGTGGAAGAAGAAAACATCGAATTTTTAAGTTTAATTATTTGTGATTATCCCGAGTTGATATGCAAAATTGACAGAGATCACGTGGCCTATTATTTCGCAATGCTGTTTTGAAACGTCAGAAGGATATATTCAAACTGCTCATAAACAATATGGTCCATCATTTACCAAAATTGCTTAGTACAAAGATCCATTGTAATAATATCTTGCATTTGGCGGGAAGTCAGCATCATCAGATCAGCTCGATACTATTTCAGGAGAGCTCTACAGCTGCAGCATGAGTTGTTGTGGGTTAAGGTAAACTTCGACACTTTTTTGTTTGGATTCTTCTAATTATAAGATGTTTGTAACATGAAATACAGGAAGTGAGTACCGTTGTGAACCCATTGGATACTCAAGCTAAAAATCAAGTGGAAAAACTCCAAAAGCTTTATTTGATGACACGCACGAGATTTAAAAGGAAAGGGGGAGAAATGGATGAAGGACACTGCAAATTCATGTATGGTTGTGGCAACACTTATTGCTACTGTGGTTTTTGCTGCAGTTTTCACACTACCTGGCGGCACCAAAGAAGATTCGGGGACACATTATTTTTTAAGAGAAGTTTGCTTCAAAATTTTTGTCATATCAGATGGAATATCTCTGGTATTATCGGTTTGCTCCATTCTGACCTTCTTATCTATTCTCACTTCCCGATATGCTGAAAAAGATTTTCTTTTGGTGTTGCCTACAAAGTTGATGGTTGGACTCTCAACACTTTTGTTATCAATAGCAGCAATGATGGTGGTTTTTTGTGCCACTATTTTCATTGTCTTTAAAGATGGAAAAATTTGGGTTCCTATTCTTCTTAGTGTGATTGCTTCTGTACCTGTCATCGTGTTCGTCAAGCAAAAATGGCCACTCCTGATTGATGTAGCGCGTTTAACCTATAACATAAGCTCTCGTTTCGATAACGAAGGGAATGCAAGGAAGCGTAATATGTTGTGTAACAAGGATGATAATGGCGGATGCTGGAGCCATCTTAAGGAAAGATGCGGGTACTATAAGAGTAAATGCCACAAATTGTCTTAGGTGAATTATTTTCAGAATTTTTCTTGGGCAAAACTGTTGGAAATGTATGGGTGCAGAACATGTGAGTAAATTAGATAGGAATGAATGTTTGTACGTTGGAGAATATATTAATGATATTAAATTCTTATTAAGAATTGAGACTTTTAATATTTTCAATTTGTTTTTAAGAGTTGTCTTTAATAAAGGTGTGCAAAAGAATCAACAGGAATCGAAACCATAACTGAGGTCCAAATACTCGGGTAGGAATTGGGACTGAATTTTATTTTTTTGTAAACTATAAGGGAGTATTTGTCATTTTTAAAAAAGTATGAGATGATCGAAATTAACTCAGATACCCGGAACTGGAACATATGTTTCAGGTTCCATTTTCATTTCCAAATCCAAGAAATTGGCCAATTCCAATTCCGATTCCTTTGAAATTGGTCAAGTACCAGGACCCGCCCACAGAAAGATATTAGACTTCAATTTATTTTGGGAAGTTTTTTATTTACCTGTTTGTTATTATTGACTTGGTTAGTATAACCTCATGTAAATTTAAGTTATTTCTTAATGGACTGATATGAGAATCTAATCTTATTATTAGTCTTAGTCTACATCAGTGTTTATCCACACCATTAAATAATTCCATCAAAAAATCCATATCCGTGTACTTTTCAAACACGCCACCCTTCCGCTGTTCAGCATATTGTTGAGAATAAATTAAAAAAATTCCAAAAATAATATCGAAGAAAAAATCAAAATAGCCAAACAAAGAAGAATTGTCCGACGGTACCGGCCCACCCCAGGTGCCAGACGTCGTTTAGCATTGTCCTAAGCTCATTCAAAGGCTTTATAGTTTATATATAGGCTATAGTACTCATAGTCAAATATATTACGAAATTAATTTGTTTATTAAATAATTTTATATCAAATAAACAAACAAATATCAACAGAAATTCATCTGCCTTATAAATATTGTTATTTGGCTCTCTCATTTGTTATTTTGGAGTATATATTTTTTTTAATTTTCCTATAAAATTGTAAATAAAAGGATTATTAATTTGGATAGAACCTTCAAATGGATGCCTCTTTTTGTTCGGACTTCAGCTTTATGCATATGATGACTAAGTTGAAGCCTTTTCTTCAAACATTTTTAAGAAGCAAAATCAATAAATCCAAATTAGAAATGAAACCAAGTTCATTTAGAAACCATCTAATTTTTATATTTTTCATAAATAAATTTTTATTTATCATTTTTTTCCTTCAACCTTTCACCAATTTAACCATTCTACAAAGTGAGAAGTGAAATGAACATAATCTTGATAATGTATAAAGTTGACAAGACTACTCCATTTTATGTTCTTTTAAGGCATGACCATGAGACCATCTACTATTTATTTTTTTCTCGTTTTGCGAAGCCAAATTGAAAACTAGTCTCTACCAATCTTTGACCATGTAGGTAGTCATGAGAAGAATCCATCCTCAAACCAAAGACATAACCGCTTGATTAACTGCTGATGGGTAGACATAACCGTCTTAAAAATTTTATATTACTTTTATAGCCAAAGCAGCAGAAAAAGGGAGCTTCCCCGTTAATGCCTCTTCAGAACTTTTAGAATTTGTTAACAACAATTTTCAAATAACGTAATTTATATCCCAAAAATGAACAATCCTCTCAATTTTGTTCAAGCAATCTAATCAACTCATATTTGAATGAGTCATCCCTAATTGTCGCTACACTTTTCGAATAAGAACATTTTATTGTCTAATATCTTTGATTGTTTGACTATCTCTGTATATCAGTAAGAAAATATAATTCATTTTCAGATGACCAATAACAACCAAAGGGTTAATATAATCTACCGGAGAGATTGTTAAGTATTAAGCGCCCAATAATTTTCAAAAACTATTAAAGAGAAAAAAAAAAAAAAAAAAAACACTCTGGAAAAAAAATTAAAAAAACCTATAAAAGTAATAGAGGGCACTTGATAGTTTTAAAAGAAATCGCATCACTCCTCGACACTTAAACGATCTCTCGCAGAGCAGATGAAACTAACCCATTGAAAATAATCTGCCTTAAAAATTCCATATTTCGCTTATTCGGCAACCCTTTCAAAGACAGTCGCTACATGCGATATGCAATCCAACAGCATTTACATTAGCTCATTCATTATGAACTTTCTACCCTACACGCCACGACTAATTTAGATTGACAATTAAAGAAACATATAAAATTGAAAACTATATTTCTTCGATAATAAAAAGTTTGAAAACTATATTTCTTCAATAATGCAACCGATAACAAAGAAAATCGTAACTGCCACTGGCATTCTGTAATTTAACCTCTACTGTTTTAGTGTCTATTCAACTATACAACTAAAAATAAGTATAACAAAGAGATCAGCCGGTGTGGACACTTTGCCAGGCTAATGTAGCCTATCATTTTGTTTTTCTGTTGTCAGTAAATAGACTTCAAAAATTTTAAGGCACAAAAATAAAGTATACAGTATAAATAGACCAGTTACTGAAATCAGATTACCCGGTTTTTGTCCTTAAATAGTATTCGCCAACAGACAAGAACACATGTTTTCCCAACACCAGTTCTGCAGCAGGCTGATTTTCAATGCAATTAACCATTATCTGCAAAAAGATATGGAAAGAAAGGTTAGCGAGGTGAGTATTTTATGTTACTATACACTATCTTCATGAAATGGAATTTTCATAAGATTAGCTTTTCATGGAACAGGTTACTGAAGTGAAATTAAGTGAAAGATGATGCAAACCTTGCCATTTCCATGTTGAAAATCTGACTTCAAATTAGAATGATCCCTTGATAACAAGTAAATTTGCACGCCTTGCAGGAACTTTGTGTTTCCTGAAAGCATTGAATATCGTTCCTTAAGTCAAGCGCACCACAAACCTATTCATGCCCACACAGACACCATCGAAGAGAGAACTAACCTGAGTATAATGCAAGAATAGCATCTGAATCAAACGCCAGAGCAGGTCTCGCTAAGCTGATCTTAAACGACATTTTTGATATCCCATGGAAACTCTCCTCACCAAGATTGACCTGCATTTTGTAGGAAAGTATTTATAATGAACTGGTAAATAATATTTGGCAGGTATTTGAACTTGGCAATTATACAAATTTGGGTCAAATCAAGTATGTTCTGTCAAATAAATTAAGGCGAAGGTTAAACCAAAGCATGACAAGATACAACCCACGTAACTTGTTTACATATTTTGAGCACTTACCTGTTTCCAAAAATTCAACTTGTTGGTACAAATTCAACACACCCAACCTTTTTATACAAATCCAACCCAATCCAACCCATTTATACAATTTAGATACAGAAGATCAGCACACGTAGATACAACTTCAGCACACTTCATCCATTTACAGAAAATCCAATCTACTGCACCAATTCTTCATAAAAGAGTAATATATATTGATAATATAAATACAATTTCAGTGAAAAGAAATTAACACAAAAATTTACCACAAAAATTCCATTGATTTAAGTTACAATGATATCCTCCACCTTCCCAACATAATAATTTACTTAGATATCAAACTAGTCATAAATGATTATCCATGTCAGCAAATAAGTTGGAATTATGAGAAACGTTCAACCCCAATAGAACAAATTTATATAACGAAATTGGCACAACCCATGACACAAAAAAAGAATAAGTCAACCCTAACAAACATAATCCTTTTAAACATAGAAAACAGAAACTAGCTTCCATAACACAATCAAAGAAATTATTTATAAGAGATCAAATAACTTGTCTTTTTCTTGACATTGTTCATAATTATTGTATGCATACATGATTTTGGGACCTTAGAACTTTTCTAACACTGAAACACACTTCAGAAACATACAAAAAATGGCATGTAATAAATAATATTAATAAGACAACACAAATGGCCAATCTAAATTAAACAGTAATTATTCAATAGATCAAACAATAATTATTTCAAGCAACTTACCGCATGTGGTGGCAACATAGTGACAGGAAGCAATGGAGAACCAATTGCATCCTTGATATAGTGTTCCTGCACATAACAATGACAATTTAGCTCTAAAGGATAGGTACTACAAACTATGAGCAGCTTACACATCAAGACAAAATTATAAACATACTCAGAAAATATTGAAATAACTCACTTTTATGGTGCAGTTCTTCACAATATGAGGTGGGCAAAAGAGAGAGAGAGGAAAAGATTAATGCTAAAAAACCACCTCAATTAATTTATTTTTTTATTACAATTTTAGCCTCATTTAGATGCAAAATGGTAGTTGTTTTACAAGTGTGATCCTTTAGCCTTACTCATTCTCAAATCTTAATGACTTTCTGAAATGACTTAACGATAAAAATCACAGTCCTACCACCAAAAATTGATTCTATCTATTATTTCGATGTAATGATGAATTCTCAAGCAACAAAAAGTACACTGACAAATAGTTAGTCCAGATATTTATGTTCACAATGAAATCAAACTGAAAAATCAAAAAGCGTTTTTAACATCAAGAAATTAATAAGGTAGAGAACATGGAGGATTCACCTGAGAATTCAAAACTTGCTGCGAGAATGACTTGTCTTCATCCAAGGATTCAAAGTAAACGTCCACCAGATCTGTAGGTTCAAGGGCAGCCTTTTTCCGTAATTTCTGAATCCTAGTAACAACCTACATAGGAGGAATTTAAGAAAACCCATTTATTAGGGCACATCTCCTCATCTTTATCGAATGAGTCACTGACACTTTTTCTTTTTATAAGAAACAGAACTAAGATTATATTTAATGGAAATTAGTAGAATCTAATACAAGTGAATGATGGTCACTTGAAGAAAGAAAAAGAAAAGTACCACGCAACAGAATAACGGAAAAGTAATTAGGAAAGCAAAGCAGCTAATATTTTTTAATGTAGAAAAAACAGTTCCCCTAAAAATGTTTTGTAATTGAAAGCCACAAAGAGGAAGACAAATCATTAATAGTCCAATGACTCTCATAGTACAGAATAATAGTAAAAAGGGAAACCTTATTAACATCATAAACGACCTTATCCAAGAGTTGTAGCATTGTTCAACCACTGCATGTTGTTCATTTCAGAAAGAAAAGCACTAAAGTGCAATATACATAACATACATATGTACGTACAGGAGAATAGACAGCAAATTAATCACAATATACCTCGCGAGCAACACCAGTTTCAAACAGCGACTCATCTGGACGCAAATCCAAAATCACCAAAACATCACCTAAAAGATAGGAAAGAAGGCATAAGCATTATTATAGAAAATATATGTCATATACAACAAACACAACATAAATTACATCAGAATGCCCTTTCTTTTATGAATACACAAAATTATCTTCAGCAGAATAACATTAATAACACTTACCATCTCCAGCTGCATCAATATCCTTTTCAGTCATACCATCAGGACGTTTGAATTCCCGCACAACCTAAAGTTTAAGACAGACAAAATTGACAAGTGGCATTATCAGTAATGAATGGAGGTTTAGGCCTGGGGGTGTATGGTCACCCCCATTGTTTGGACGCAATGAGTTCAAATTTTATCATTTTAACCATCAGGGAATGAAATATATTGTTCAAATCTATATCACTTTGAAAAAGAGTACTCCTCCAAGTCCAAGAAATAGTTTCCAATACTTTGGATAAGAAGAAATAGAAGCAGAAGCGAAAAAAAAAATCCATTTGGCACTTGATTTTAAGGAAACTCTTGTTAAATCAAAACTGAGACACCTTTTTATCCAAATGGCATTCAATAAACACAGATAGAGGTTACCCATATAGAAAAAAACAAAACCCAGCACAAGATGATGCATCTTAATATCAGTCAGCTTCAAACAGTGTGTAGCAACAGTTACTTCTCCCGCTTTCTCAAAAGCTAAGATATCTCCCTGAGTCATTGCTTTGACTTCCTTCGCAACAACGCCCATTGATTTACCAAGTCGCTTACCCAACACACTAGAAGAAAATAATCACATAAGACTGATCGTAAGCATAAACTGTAATCCAGGCACTTCTAAACAATTTACATACCTAAAATCAGGTTCTGCACGTAAAGAAGCATATTCCAATGTATCATTGCATGGGACAAGCAATCTTACATTGAGCTCCTCTAGCACATACTGCAATTAAAACAAAATTACATCCATCAGAAAGTAGGAAAAGAATTAACTTTGTCTACAGATTATATCTTGCCAAAGTTTTTGAACAGCAATAATAAGAATCATACAAGAAGACCTTAGAAAAGCTATATCAAAATCAAAGCCAAGAACACATATAATTGTCAAGAATACATTAAGCAAGAAAGTACTTTTTCTAGTACATCAATTCCAAATGGCTAATCTAAGCACTTCAATGATGGTTGCACATTTATGAAAATCAGCTTCCATTACATTAAGCATGAAACTACTTCTTTTTCTAGTACTTCAATTCCAATGGCTGATCCAAGCACTTCAGGGACATGATTGCTCATTTATGAAAATCAGCTTCCATTAAGCTAAAGGCCAATGACCTTCTGAGAACCATTTTACTGATCCATTTCATAGAAAATTCCTAAGCAATCGCCACGGCACATAGTCTTCAAAAGAATTATTAGTAGCCTCCTGACAAGTAAATTTTGTTTTGAAAAGATTCTTTTTTTTTAAATAAATCCAAAGAATGACATTTTACTTCTTAATTCAGCAGGTCTGGAACACTTAAAATAGATGCAGAATTGGAAATGCTACTCCTTATTTCTTCATATCAAGTACAGTGCTTACTATCCTGGGTACACAATCTCTTCTTCTGAATAACATATTGGTTGTTTATCTATAAAGCAGAAAAGATGGTTCCTCTTATCCGTGAACTTCTCTTCTCCACTAGGTCAAGGACAGTACAGATAGGCTCTTAAAAGAAACACATCTTGGATATTATTTGCAGTCTTAAGCTGCAGTCTCTTATCTTTAATTTTTGTATGTGGAGCGCAGAAAATGTCAATTTATTAGTTCCCTTGAAATTCTGGGTTTACACATCTTTTGTACTTTATTCTTCCTTCTAATAGAAATTTACCCTCGGTGCTTTATCAGTGATCTAAGGTTTGCATTAAAATACAAAAATTGGTAGGAAAAAATAAAGATGCCATGATTAGGAATTAAAAGAACAAAGATATCAGAAGCATCAAAAGGGGCACAGTAGGCAAACAAGTGACCAATATGAAATCTTTTAGGTGAACAGAAAACCCATTATACAAATAAGCCAATTTGAAATAAAAGTAAACATACCTTACCCAAACCAAACCTTAAAATAAGCTACATATGACAGCATGAAAAAAAATAAGACGGCAAAGGGAGTACATTAGAAAAAATTGCATCATTGGAACCAAAGAATGAGCAGAACAGCACAAGGTTACTTCTCTAAGTGGTACTTCTCTAAGTGGGTAGAAACTAAGTGGTATATAATACAGTTATACAGGGTTGCCACTTTATTCACAAACCTCTCTGAGTTTTCCAGTTATGTCATCAAGAAAGTTTGTATCAGGATGAACCACTATCATCTCCCTGCAGTTCCATACACACAACTAATGAAGTGGGTGTATAAACTAAAAAATACAAATACAAATAGAATGGAAATGAGCTAAAGAGAAGGACCAAAAACACAATTAAAGACATAGTAGAAGAAAAGATAAGTTAGAAGCACACCTAAGTGGTGATTTTATAGGCTTGTTGTGACGGTCTCAAATATTACGTGCAAGATCGATAATCGTCATCATCCTTGAANTTCCCTTGAAATTCTGGGTTTACACATCTTTTGTACTTTATTCTTCCTTCTAATAGAAATTTACCCTAGGTGCTTTATCAGTGATCTAAGGTTTGCATTAAAATACAAAAATTGGTAGGAAAAAATAAAGATGCCATGATTAGGAATTAAAAGAACAAAGAAATCAGAAGCACCAAAAGGGGCATAGTGGGCAAACAAGTGACTAATATGAAATCTTTTAGGTGAACAGAAAACCCATTATACAAATGAGCCAATTTGAAATAAAAGTAAACATACCTTACCCAAACCAAAACTTAAAATAAGCTACATATGACAGCATGAAAAAAAATAAGATGGCAAAGGGAGTACATTAGAAAAAATTGCATTATTGGAACCAAAGAATGAGCAGAACAGCACAAGGTTACTTCTCTAAGTGGGTAGAAACTAAGTGGTCTATAATACAGGGTTGCCACTTTATTCACAAACCTCTCTGAGTTTTCCAGTTATGTCATCAAGAAATTCTGTATCAGGATGAACCACTATCATCTCCCTGCAGTTCCATAGACACAACTAATGAAGTGGGTGTATAAACTAAAAAATACAAATACAAATAGAATGGAAATGAGCTAAAGAGAAGGACCAAAAACACAATTAAAGACATAGTAGAATAAAAGATAAGTTAGAAGCACACCTAAGTGGTGATTTTATAGGCTTGTTGTGACGGTCTCAAATATTACTTGCAAGATCGATAATCGTCATCATCCTTGAAACACTCTTTTCAATTTGTTCATCCCTCTGAGATACAATTAGAAATAATGAAATTATATAGCAGAAAAGACACCAAAAGGAAAAAGCTTCAATTAAATCTAGTATAAAATTCAGCTTCCGTCCATAAGTTATGGATTAAATCATTAACTAAACATTTTTGAAAAGTAAATTCCCTAAGTTGGAAGTTCACTAAATTTTGGCTAGGGATGAGCAGAACCTTTCCTTCTTCTTCAGGAACTATACAAAAGTTAATGCTATCCTCCGACTCCTTGCAAACCTTTCTCATATTTTGATAAAGAACTTCCGTGAAGAATGGTGTGAATGGAGCCATCACTTTGCAAGAAGTTAAAAGCACCTAAGAACCCACAAAAGAAGAAAACATGTAAAAAAAAATAATTTCTCATCACATCTCATCCACAGTTAAACGACAGCAACCACAATGACAATGGTGGTGATATGGAGTGGAGTGTGAAATTAACTAATATTTGTTAAGCACCTCTCAAGAAGGCAGAGCTTAGTTTCAATACGAGCATTCAGAGAATTAGATTAAAGATTTGTAGGAGGTATCACATATCAATCAAAAGTAACATAAACACTTGTGGAGCATGGTAGCTAGGATTTGTAACAGCAGGTAGCGTAGAATCATGTTTCACAAATCAGTTGAATGAGTAATTTATTTGTCAAGGAGATGAAATCCAATTTCATCACAAAGGAATTCAACTCAAGCTTTGCAACATAACAAAACATCCCTTTATCCTTGAACGCACTTAACTTTTATTAAACTAAATAAAGCAATGTATAATATATAAAACTATTATACTATCATGGTTTCAAGCAAAAAGAAAGTATCCAATGCCTAATGAGTGAAACAACAATATATCAGACTTAGTGACACCATACATTGTAAAGAGTCGAAAGTGCTGTGCGGCAGTCCACTGCTCCTGTTCAGCCTTTCAGTCTCTTATGATTGAATAGCACATAAATATTTGTAAGGTTGTCAAGAAACTTCAAGAGATACGAAACAACCTAAGAGAAGAAGTATATGTTTATTAGTGGCTNAGAACTTCCGTGAAGAATGGTGTGAATGGAGCCATCACTTTGCAAGAAGAAAACATGTAAAAAAAATAATTTATCATCACATCTCATCCACGGTTAAACGACAGCAACCACAATGACAATGGTGGTGATATGGAGTGGAGTGTGAAATTAACTAATATTTGTTAAGCACCTCTCAAGAATTCAGAGCTTAGTTTCAATATGGGCATTCAGAGAATTAGATTAAAGATTTGTATCACATATCAATCAAAAGTAACGTAAACAATAAGTGAAACAACAATATATCAGACTTAGTGACACCATACATTGTAAAGAGTTGAAAGTGCTGTGCGGCAGTCCTCTTCTCCTGTTCGGCCTTTCAGTCTCTTACGATTGAATAGCACATAAATATTTGTAAGGTTGTCAAGAAACTTCAAGAGATACGGAACAACCTAAGAGAAGAAGTATATGTTTATTAGTGGCTACTACCTCTTTTAACATTGCTACATAGCTAAAAGAAATAGAACAGTAGTTCAACAAAATAACAACATTACTAAAAACAGTTATAATAACATAGAAGGATATCTAATAAAGTGACATCCATCTGTCATTTAATATCATATTTTCATAGGCAAAATAACATGAACATTAAAATTAACTGCTTAGTGTGTGAGTAAAAAATCAGAAGTATCAAACCATCTAGGCTATCATAACGCAATAAAATATAAAAATTAGATGATATAAATTACACACACGCACACGCATACACACATATATATATATAGAGAGAGAGAGAGATGTCAACAGTCTTAGACCTGTTACAGTCACAAAGAAATCTTATAACATAAAACTCAAAAGTGCAAAAGTAGTAAACATCAGTGCATCAATAATACTTACTTATCAACGCAAAAGCTACAACAAACCAGCCCAGAACTTTTGTCTGTACAATTTATAGTTCGAAACTTAATGTCAAGGTAGGCCTAGCAATAGTCGTATTGAAATGAGTTTTTGTCGTATCATATTTTTGTGTCAAATTTTTCTCATCCAAACTCAACCAATTAGCTTATTGGGTCTGTGAAAATGAAAATCCATTAATTAATGTGGAACCCAAGCCTAATCCATTAAACCATTTTTCTCAAAAGGTTGACGCATTACTGATTGACTCAATAAAACTACAGCCGAACACCATCTTTATCAAATGTCTTCATGTTGTGTTACTAGCTTACACAGAATTTTGCCAGAACTATGTCAACGTGTTGTGTCAACACAATACATTTTTGAAAACCAGGCACTTCAACATTCAAATTTAGTTGCTATTGTGAAACAATAAAAATTATAGCAACTTTTATAAGAATGAGTTCATACATTTTTATCTTTCAATATATAAGCATAACAAATTAACTGTAATAACTAGGTTACATAGCAAGCTTTACCGTGTAAAGTCAATATCCATCCATCTCTTGGTGAACAAAACGAACAAGACTCTGAGTGGCTGAGTTGATCCGCTGGTCAAGCACGGTCAATGACTTTTGAAGAGTTCCAAGATCAACTGGAACATAGGTTACACCTCCCTCTATCTCAAGTCTGTTTGCATCTGGACGAGGAACCTATAGGCATTATACCATGGAAGGAAAACAT